GCAAAAGTATATGTTATACATAACATATAATAGAAATTTGAATTTTGAATATTTGAAGATGAAATTAATACAAAGTACACATTTGGGTTTTTCAATCATCTTAATTTGCACAAAATGATTTATAAAAAGGGACCAATGCATACATTTATACTTTTTGTCATGCGGTTGTTCAAAATGTTTCTAAGAGAACATCAGACTCTTTCATAAGCAGAAGGAGGCATAGTAATGTCTAATTGACTGACTTCTCTCATAATGAATACTCAGTAAATCATTAAGTGAAATGTGTTAAATATTAATAAAATTCATGCTTTCTTGATGAAATGCAAAGGTGTTGGCAGCTGTATAGTTATAGTTTCCAAGTATGTAAAATGATTTTCCCTTTGTGGTTCTGGCGAACTTGATGCTGAAAACTAATATTTTATTACTTAAAAAATCGTAATGCATTAAAATGAAGTTATTAAAATTACTTTGTTACAAATTCTCTAAAAGGTGTGTAATATGTTGTTACAAATAGTTTCCTTAGCATTCTCTCTGTATCTTTAATCTACAGTGTCTGAAGGAACAATAAATACTTTGATTGGAAACCATAATAACATGTTGCGTATTTATCAGGATGTGACACTCAAGTGGTCTACTCAACTTCCTCACGTTCCTGTAGCAGTAAAAGTCGGCTCTTTGCAGTAAGTGACATAATTTAACACAGTGTGCAAAGTGGATCTGAGCTCAGGTGATCTCTCAAAGCTTTACGGAGCAGTGTCATGTGCTTCATCAGGAGTGAAAAATGGCAAGTGGTGTTTCACAGCAATGATAGAAAGAATGAAAAAGATTTTCATTGATAATGGAAGCTGTAAAAACCTTAATAAGTACAATCAATCATTTTTATTTACTATTTCTAAAAAGATTTAGATCGTTTATAGTTCTTGATATTTCAAGAAAGTGGTTTTCCTGATAGAATTATTTTTTTAAAGAATTAATTCCTTCAAAGATTTGATGGGTCCTCTTTAAAGATGATTTATTGATGGACTGTGAGAATATTGTTCTTTAGAACTTGTTTCTTGCCATATTATATCAAGTGGTGCAGAATTGCTAGTTATGTGTTTAAGACAATTTAGATTTTAAATATGGCCACTTTGCATTTAAAAGGAAAGATAAAATCCATACTCTGACATTACATTTATAAAGAAATGAAAAGAGATAAATATGAGACAGCTAAGTGTATAATCTTTCCAGGACATTTGTATCTTAATGCAGTATCTGATAAACTCTTTTAGCACCTTAGGTTATATTTAGGAACTAAAATTCTCAGAAAATATAAAAATTACAGTTTACTGTAAAACTTCACAGCCATAGTCATGCTTATTTTCTGTAATTTCACTACATCATTAAAAATCAGATGTAGAGTTCTTTAATGGTACCTAGAATTGCCAGGTCAGAATAAGTTTTATGCCCAAATTAAGAGTCCATATGTACAATATTATTGCTGAATCTCAATGAAGAACATCCCTATTTGCATTAACAGTTATATCAAGCCCAAGATTTGAGAAAAATGGCAATAATTTTCACTGACCCCACAGCACTTCACAATTTGTATCTAAAGAATAATTTTAAAAAGTTGAGATTGATTTTGTAATGCCAAACAAACATTCAAACTCATCAGATTGTTTCATATTTATTGATCAGACATTACCATTAGGCAAAACATTGACTTACTGTCTGTGCTGTGTAAACTGTTTTTCAAGAGCTATTCTCTCCTAATCCCCCCTTTCCCCCATAGTCACAACTTAAATGTGAGACTTCAGATCCACATTGGTCAGTATACAGACCACCTTAGTTTGTAATTTCTAGATTCCTCATGGACCAATATCTTTAAACACCTAAAAGCTGTAGTTCTTGTGTTGGGGGTATACAAGAGTGATGGGTAGAAATACTTTATCAAGAACCAGAAAGCCAAGTCAAACCCATCGTCATTAAACCGATTCCATCTCAAAACAATTCTATGGGGCAGCATAGAAATGCCTATGCATTTCCAAGGCTATGTCTTTATGGAAGCAGTTTGTCTGTTTCTTTTGGTAGCAGCTGGTTTTGTTGTTGTTATGTCCTATCGAGTCTGAACCGATTTATCGCTGACCGTCCAGTGGGTTTTCAGAGGCAGTTAATCCTATGGCAGGAGATTGTCCATGTTTCTCCCACGGAGTAGCTGATGAATTCTAACAACCTGTGCAACTCCACTAAGTCACCAGAGCTCCCTTGACAGTATACTTAGCAGTCAAAGTCATTAGTCCCTACACTGAAAGATCTCCTTCATTAAAAACAGTTAGTTGAACTACTTATGTTTAATATGTACTCACAAGGGCCATGCTCACTCTTAAGACTCAGAGAAGCTCATAGATAGGACTTCCTAGTAGTTTCTTACCTTGATGTAACTTACCAATATAGGATCTAGTAGTAACTCAGTATTACAAATTATTATGAAGATGTTTGTACATTGGGTGCCCATCTTCACTATCTTGTTAACATTTTTTTCTTAGATATTTGTTGCAAAAAAGTTTTCTCTTCCATATAGTTTTCTCAAGATTATAGGTGTTGACAGATAAATAAAAATAATGCTGGGAGTGGTCTCTACTATTAAGAAATAACAATTACAGTTATTCAGTTGATTATTTGTCTTATTTTGATATACTTTAAATAAACATGTAGAGAGGTAGTATATTTTAAATAATTTTATTTTTAATTACTGACATAGTTGTAACATTTATATTTAGAAGCTATTTGAAATTCAACTCATTTCAACTCATTGACATTGAATTGGAATCAACTCACAGCAGACCCTCTAGCTGGTTTTCAGGGCCTGTAAATCTCAATGGAGGGGGCTGCCCTTCTTTCTCCCACGGAGCAGCTGGTGGATTTGAACTGCTTGCTTTTGTGCTGGCAGCAGAAATTTTAACCCAGTAGATCACCAGAGCTCTCTTATTTGAAATTAAGAACACTGAAATAACTTTTCTTTCTGTTTTCCATTACCTTTAGGCTTAAACCTTTTGGCTAGATGCTTCCTTGGCTGGATTTGTTTATTTGTAAAGGAAATTGCTGCTTTTTAAATGTTTCTTTTAAATGAATAAGAAATACTGGATTTAGGTCAAGTTGATGCAATTATACTTAATAATAGCATTTTACTCAGAAACTGAGATGCTTTATTTCTTTCTGTGAACACTGCCTCCCCCAATTTGGCAGTCATAGTTGTCTCTACCTTGTTTATTATAAATCAGTTCTAAATTTTTCTGTTTCCTTCTTTATTTTTAGGGTAAATATAATTCTTGAATATAGTACTGTTTTAAAGTATTTTGATTTTTATGAGTTTGACTGTAGGAATGTGAAAAATAGTCACAGAGGTTACAGACTCAGTACATCCAGAATGTGATAATGGTCTTTAAATTTCTTAGCTATTAGTGTTTTCTTCTCATGGCACAAAGTAGCTGTGGCACCTGGCTGAGTGTCTTACCTCTGCTGTGCTCAGTTTCCCAAATGGCCAATAAAGATGATCGTATATCGGTAACATTATTCTCTCTGGAGATATCAAATTCATCTCAGAGTGGAAGTCTATTCGAATGAAACCTCACAGTGATGTGAATCTTTCCAAGTTTTAACTGGCAGCTCACAGCCATAGTGCTTGAAATCTTGTTGCAGCTCATTTTTCAGTATAAATAATTTGGTCTAATATGCTAGTGTTTTACTTCCTAAACTATGTCTAAAATAATCACTTATTATAATGTCAATATTTACATTTTATTCTTTCGTTCTCATTGCTGCAGTGTTCTTGTCGAGAATGTTTTCCCAGAGTTTCCTCTGCTTTTTAAATCTCTTCTATCTATAGATAAGCCTAATTCAAGTGACATAATTAAGTTGTCCCTCCCAACCCTGATTTTCTTTTCTTTTGATTTAATGTAAGGTTTATACTTATATTGGTGACTATTGTTTGTTTGTTGTAGAAATCTTTTTGCTTGTGCTCTGGCACAGACTAATCAACCAGAAATATGAACATGCAATATACATAAGTCACTGTGTTTTGTGTATGCATGCCAGAGAGAGAGGAGTAACTAGAAAGACCTTCTAAAATCTTTTATTTAAATTGAGAAGCATAGAAGGAAGGATTTTTTTAAAAAATCAAAACTATTATAGGAATCTTTGTAATTTCAAAGTAACTTTAACTTTGATATTGTCTTTTCTCTTTGGCATTGTAGTAAGACAAAGTAGGCCTATATTTTTTTCTGTGTTAAATTTTGAATAATTTCCTCTTTGGCTTAAGAGTCCACACAGAATTTGCTCACTTTTTTTTGCTTAATCATAGAGAATATTATACTTTATAAAGTATAAAATTATAAGTAAAATTTATACTTATTTTTATTTTCAAAGCCTCCACATTTTTTTTATATTGTCCTTCATTGATTTGTTTAACTCAAGAGTAGAGTGTTAGACTTTTCTTACTACACTTTCTCGAATTTTCCTGATGTTAATCTTAACATTTTTAGTTAATATGCTTTACTCTATGTTATATAACTTATGGATTTGATATTTTTTCTTTTTTTAGTACGTGAATTAAAACATTAATTCCATTTCATGTGTTTATATTTTCTTTGATTTTCATTTTATTGTTAATTAGACTGTTGTCTGTGCTGTTTTTTTTTTTTTTTTAAACCTATCTCTTTTGATTGGGAGTCATGCTGCTAATCTTGATGTGGTGGTGCTTTGACAGTTTCAATCCACCAGCAGCTCTGCAGGAGGAGGGTGGAGACTCTCCTCCCGTGGTTTGCAGCGTCAGAGATCCACTGGGAGGGTCAGCTGCATGCTGGGTCCGACTTGACTTTTTGGAGTGTCTCGTATACAACATTTGATTGTATTGTAACACGGGTTAAAGAGGACGATATTTTAATGAATCAATTTCCTGTTGTGGTTATAATTGTAACCTTGAACAAGTTTTAACCTTGGCCAGCACTGTCTCTACTTCTGCTCTCTTACTGTTGCCTTTGGTTTCCATCTGTTGTGCGTGAGCTGAGGCTGTTTGTACTTACATGGCTCATTGCAGTCTAGTTGGTTTGGCCTCCTAGCTGGCCCTCACATCAGGCTTTCTTGGCTGTAAATTGCAGGGACGAGATTGTCCTTTCGTCCTCGTAGCTTTTGGTGGATTCCAACTGCCAGGGACATGCAGCTGTGGATCCGTCCAACTCGATGGAACACAACAACAACAGCAACAATAAGACCAAAAGACATACTGTCTTCATGATAGGCAGTGTTTCACACACATCTTTTCTTTCTTTTTTCCATTTTCCCCATTTATTTGCTCTCAAACATGGATGAATCCATGAGTGTGTGTGTGTGTGTGTGCACATACACATGCACAGACACAGAGACACACACAAGCACATACAAATGCTCTTACTTTTGTCCTTTAAGACACAGAGACACACACAAGCACATACGAATGCTCTTACTTTTGTCCTTTATTACAGTAACATGGAATTTCAGATATATATTACTATCATTAAATTACTTTTTAAAATTTTTTATTAAATTTTGTTATTTTTGTGTGTGTGTGTACCGTCAAATTGGATCTCACTGGTACTGGAGGAGATTGTCCCTCCTTCTCCAGCAGAGCGTCTGGTGGAGATGCATGATGTCTTTTTCCAAG